TATTTTTCGTTTTCTTTTTTATTTTATGTTATTTTGTTATTATTAATGTTTACAAAAACTATGTTATTATTATCATTTTATTTAATTTTTTTTTTTTTCATGAAAATTACTTTTATTTTTTCATGTTCCGGGATGTTCCGGCATGTTCCGGAGTGTTCCGGAATGTTCCATGTTCCGGGTTTTATCGACGCCCTTTCCATGGACCCTCGCCCCACAAATTATTTGCGGCAAAATATTGTTTTCTCATACCCGAAGATGATACGAGTTTCTTTTTCTTTATTTCCTTCTCTTTCGGTTTTTTGTTATTTTACGTTATTATTAATTTTTATAAAAATTATTTTATTATTATTATTATTTTATTTATTTTCATGAAAATTGTTTTTATTTTTTCATGTTCCGGGATGTTCCGGAATGTTCCGGAATGTTCCGGCATGTTCCGGAATGTTCCATATTCCGGAATTTATCGACGCCCTCACCGAAAACGGGACTGGGTTATTTGTATAAAGCTAATCTTACCAATGAAGTGCATAAAACAGTTAAAGGACCTCTTAAAGCGTCGTAAGACAAACCTCCAAAAGGAAAATCAGCAGTAGCGAAGCGGGATGAGTGGTGGAGACAGGTACAGACTTCCCTGTCAGCGGTGAATTGCGTTCTTCTAAACAGCTTCATGTATCCATAACATGTCCTTCCGGTTTTCAAAAAAGACCCTGGGCACGAGGCTGGGCAGCGAAAGTCTGCTTTCGAGAATCAAATTTTTTAATCGAAAATTGCATTTGCTATCTATTTTGCCATCTGGAACTCGGATTAAAAACTCTGCAGTATTCTGCAAACTCCAGTTGTATGTTTCTTAGCGGAGCTCTCGCGAGCGAAGCGTGCACAGCGTAGCACCATGTGTAAGAAAATGAAGTAATCTACCCATCCGATAAAATTTGGTAATCACGTGATCATACGCACGCGCGCCCGCCCATCCGTTCGCACCACAGGCAAACCAATGTAAAATAACTAAATCAACAGGTATGGCAACCCAAATGCAACTCGAGGTTATTTTGGCGGGAAATCGCATAGCCACCGGTGTCTTGTAAAGCAGAGACAACTAACAAGTCAATAAAGACGAAAACGAAAAGCGGAAATTGTTTGTGTATCCGTGTTGTCCAAAGTATTAAGCTTAGATTAATTGTCTATCCACAAATTTGGAATATAGAGCAAGAGAAAGACAAAGAAAAAGAGAAAGTAGGCGGCAGGCCAGCGAAGCTCAACTAGAGAAAGGGCAACAGAGATCTAGAGCAAGAGATAAGAAACAAAGGAGACATTTTTTTGTTGCAAGAACAACATTAAAATTTTATAACTCGGCGGTGACAAATGAGAAATGCTAGCGGCCACCAATATGTGCAAGGTGAAAATGAGTGCAGTGAAAAAAAGGTGAACGAGTTCACGTACGACATTTCCTCCATAAACCGTGTAACTAAGAAGTTTCTGGAAGTTTCACGTTGTAGTCGTGCAAAACAATGGCAAAAAAAATGTACAAAAAAGTGTGCTGCACGTGCAAAGTTGCTTTTTTGCTAATTAAGCTGTTGTTGTTGTTGTTGTTGTTGTTTTTTTCACCGTTCTCCGGCGTTGCCTTCGCCGCTTAGCATTACACGATTTTATATTTTGTTTGAACAAACTAATATATATATTTAGCCACAGCTAAAAGCGAAGCTCCCATTGATAAATTTATAACTTAAATCAAACAATAATTTTGTATTCCACAAATCAGTTAACGTAAGAGCACATTCATGTGACTTTTGAGGGAAAAGCTAAGTGATTTTGGAGTGAAGCAAATTTTGTATCGAGTTGATATAGCCTTATACGTACACCCAAAAAATAGTCTTCGGTCACATTTAAGAGCAAGAGCGATGGCTCTTGATCACAGTAGATAAGGCGTGCAAAACAAATTCTTGGAAAACAAATCAGACCGAATTTTTTGCGTTCGACAAGTTTACAAATTCTTGCCAATAAATCTGGGTGCGTGCACACCAATCTTTTATTTTTTTTACACACCACATCTGAGGAGAAAGAGTATTATGAGGTGCTGTTTTTATCATACAGACCTCGTACAAAATGCAGTATTTCACAATTTTTCAAGACAAATTGCATTCATTCAATATTCAGGACCATAGAGGCACGCGTGGACTTTTAATTAGCGAAACCGTTCAAAAAATTTCCAAAATCACCCATACGGCCGGCCGGTTCTAACTTTTAACAAGCGCCAAATTTGCGAAGAAGTTTTAAAAGAGTTACGCTTCAACGTGATAAAGAATTTACTGAGTCTATTTTTTATTAACGGTTTTATAACGATGTGTAATCTTAAAAAGCGTTTGATACGCTTGGCATTTTGAGTACTCCTGCGAGCGATGTTTATGAACGCCTGAAAACAAACGGAAAAGCGATGAAAATTACACTTTTGAGACTACCAAAAATCAATAAAGAAAAATAATTCGATAGAACATTTACAGAGACAACAATTTTCATTCACGAAAACAAATGAGTATTTAAGTGTGTCTAAGAATCCTCAAGTCTTTACTAGTAAGCTTAAAGTTTATGTTTTAAGCCGCCGGTTTCCCGGTGTTGGCTGTTTTTAAAGATGAACTCACGAAAAGAAAATCCTTCAAAGCTTTCTTTCTACAGCCAAAATTATAACTAAATATTCTTCGGAAAGTTTTTTCTTTCTATTTAAGGTGAATTAATATCGACTAAAAGCTTTTTAAAGTTCTGTAAGCTTAAGCTTATATCAAACCTCATACGAGGTCAGATCAGTGTCTCAGTCAAATCTTAATACAAACGTGCATAAACTAGCTTCATAAACTTCGCCGCTGGACTTCATGAAATTAGATTTAAATACAATAATTACTCAGGCTTACCATATTTCGAGATGCAGCTCCTGAAAGCTATCAAGTAAGGCAAGGATCGCTTGAGCCTTTATAATTCTCGTAAGCATCCAGCAAGGTGAAAAACAAAAACGATGCCATCCGAAACCGGATTATCGGCTTTAACAAGCGACGCATTTTTCAACCAAAAACCCAATAAACAAACCAGCCATGAATAAGAGAACACTCTTGATAGCAGCTGTATTTCATTTTGTACATCCAGTGGAAAAAGACAGTTAAAAACATCACAAGTTGACTCAAAACTCTGTCAGCTTCAGCTGTCAAAGTAAACAACTTTCAAGATGCTGCATAAATTTTACGCATGAACTCACCTGTCAAATTTTAACCAATCAGAGCATAAAAATTGGACGTGGAGCGTGACCAACACGTGCCCATGGTAAGAAAAGGTCTTCCCCGCCTGTATTTTACAAACACTGGCTGAATTTTTGCGTCTGAAGTCAGTTTGAAATCAAAATCGTAATAGTGCGGGGCGATACTGACATAAACACAACATATTTGATATGAATTTAAAACAAAAGTAAACGTGAGCCTGCGATCATTTGAAAACGAGTAAATTGTCAGCGGATAACTTCAAAAAATACTCGACCTCGATGGGTCGACACCTGAGCCCGCGATTCGTTCAGATGATAGTGGACAGCGGATACCCTGTTTTGACAGCTGTCAATTGATGACAACATTGATGTGCAATCAGCTTTCTCCTGGGCTCCCAAAGTAGCTAGAAAGTGTGAGAGTAAACATTGGTATGCCTGTGGTGCGGACGGACGGTCGGTCGGTCGGTCGGTCACGTGATTACCAAATTTTCTGGGATGGGTAGATTTCCTTAGCAATGGGGCTCCGCCATAAACTATATTATCGAGAACTTCGATTTTAGCCCTGGCTAATTCTATATATTAGTACTTACTTTCCAAGAAACTGAAAATTTGGCTTGACCTTGGGTAAAATGAGGTACCGGGCCTTCGATTAGACGGGAAGAAACCGGATGTTAAACTTATGTCAGATTTGAAATAAATAAATAAATAAATAAATGAACAAATGAAAAAAGGACGGGTAAATTAAGGCCGCCTGGCCGTTGTAGACACTTTGCAAATGGCCATAGACTTTTTCAACGTGCTTGGTTAATTACAGGTCTGCCAATTAAGTCTATTTGCAGAACTGGTTTGTAGTGAGGTTTACGCTTAATATTAGAGGACAAATTTTCAACATACAGCGATTTATTACTTGATATATGCGATTGTAACTGGGATGGCTAAGAGTTCCAGATGTAGTTCATGGTGATTTGCAGAATAATCCAATTTTTTTTGTACACGAATTACTTTACATTAATATTACTGAGGTCAATTTTCTGCGTTTGATGACATGGCTAGGAAATGAGCAGCAGGAATTATATATCAGTGGATATGAGGCCATTCTACTGGATTTAAAAAGACGATTGAGAGATTTGAAATTTGGTAATATATTATCGTATATATTGTAAGTAAAATCTGAACATTCCTCAGGTTAAAGCATAATTTTCCTTGTCTTCTAGCTACGAACAATTCGGCCTACCAGAAAAGGGGATTCTGACCTCCACGTCAGTTTGGTTTTTCTTAGTGCGAGGGCACTTCCAGTTTTATAGCTGCCAAAAACCATGTTACAGCGAGTAACAGTTTTTCCTTGATTCATGCTAAGTATAGCTTACGCCGAGTGAAAAAAGGATCATTTTTAAGCTCTGAGTCACTTCTCCCCGGCGAAAAAATGAAGTTTGTTTCAGAAAATGATCTCCGGCGTAGAGCCATAAAATGAGGAGTTAGTTCGAGAAGTCTAATACGGTTCTTCTAAAACGAGAACACTGCAAATTATCCTCGACTGTGGTAAGGTATATTTTGCTTACGTACGGAAATCGGCAAAAAACAAACTAAAACCAAGATTATAGACTACAGTTTTATCACAATCAGGCTCTTTTATTGTTACACTTTTCCACTTATGACAACTGATATCGATAGAAAGACTACATTTTGTACAGGCATAATTCCCCTTCATTTTCCGATTTCGTGTTTCGAGAGATAATCATTTCCTTGGGTCTTGTCGAGTGAATCACTTTCTGTCTTTTTTGTCGCCAAGTCTTTTGGTGCATTCATGGAACCTCACAAAACAGCACAGCTTCTCCTCGCAGGTCTCGCTTCCCAGCATACAGCACGGGATGACTGGTAGACATTTTTTCTAGAACAAAACAAAATACAAATGGATGGCATAATTGTCAACAGTAAGCTTTAACTTAGGTGTTGCAAGTTATACTGGTTTGCGAACTTCTACGTCTTCTGACTAGGCTCGACACCTTCAAACAAAGAGAATAGAAAAGAGAAAGAAAGCTGGAAGATAACTCCCAACTTCTCGATATGACTTTTGAGAGCTCCATGCCGATCCATGGCGTGTTTGGTAATGAGTCACAATCCTTTCCTTTTCCGGCTTACACTATGCTAAGCCACGGGCGCAGTTGTAGTAGAAGTAGTTTGGAGTACAAAAATACTTAAATGACAAACTACAACCTCGGGAAACAGTAAGCTTACAATTAAAAAAACAGTCGCTTGTTTAATTACGGGTGGCTGCGAGTAGACAAGCTGTCCGTTCACGAGAGTGTTCGCTCAGCCCAGAGAGCTTTGGCTGTCACTGTAACAACCGACCCGCCCTACTGCCTAAGATTTTTTTAAACGTCTTGGATACAGTTAGGACTCTTAGCAAACGTTTTTAACCACACTTGCTGTAGCTGGAGGCATATGGCGAACTCGTACACCCGCTTTTTTCAGGCATTTTCCCGTTCTCTTGATGCACCTTAGATGTGCACAAGCGTTCTCATTTGCTTTTGTATGGTATATCACTGCTGCAACGATGCAAAGTTTCTATAAAAACAAACAAACAAACAAGAACTTGAGAATTTTTTGAATTTAAGATGAAAATTCTTAAGTCTAAAAACCATGGAGCAAGACCTATACGCTCGCTGATAAGAAACTTAAGAGAATTTTTCCTCCTGACCCTCCTTGCCGTTCTATTTTTCTCCTGGTGGGGTGCATGCACCGTGCCACTTGCACCTTGATGTTTGCCGTTCTGCAATCAGTTTTTTTCTGTGTGTGGTCTGCACGGTTTTCCAGCTTTATGCGCTTTATTTAAATGGCTGAATTCATTAAACACTTGGGTTCCTTGTTTCAAGCAAAAAATGCTAAAGCAAATTCCTCAACGGCAGGACTGACAAATGGGCAAATAATGGAATAAATAAATGCATAAATGAATAAGCCTTGCCCAAACTTTGCCCCCAGGCTCCTTCCCCCTTTTTAAAAAAGCAAACTAGTCTATTCATAGCTTCTGTTTCTTCTCAAGTAAGCCTGAGAGTGAAATCGTCAAGCTACAGGTCAGAACTCTACACCGTAGTACGGTGGCCCATAGGTGACATCCCAAAATTTACACTCTTCCAAGTTTTATTCAGCAGAATTCTTTTAAGCTCGTAATAATTTATTATCCTGTGATAATGTTATCCCGAGATAACATTTTTATCCCGTGATATTTTCTTATACTGCGATAATGTTTTTTTCCCGAGATAATTTTTTATCCCGAGATAACTTTTGTATCCCGAGATAATTTTTTATCCCGAGATAACTTATTCATCCCGAGATAATTTTTTTATCCCGAGATAATTTTTCATCCCGAGATAACTTTTTTATCCTGAGATAATTTTTTATCCCGAGATAATTTTTTATCTCGAAATAATTTTTTGATCCCGAGATAATTTTTTATCGCGATATAACCTTTTATCTCGATATATAACAATTATTGACTGAAGTGGAGGTGGCTAGTGGTAGGATTTAAAAAATTTTCTTGGGATACAAAAGTTATCTCGGGATAACATTATCACAGGATAAAAAATTATCACGAGCTCAAAAGAATTCTGCTGGACTAAAAGTTTGCACAATGTAGTCGTACAATGAAAACGTGTGACTTTTATCGTAGAGATGATCTTTGGATCAGTGTTGAAGTACCACTTGAAAATTCAAGTGTCTATTTATTTATTTTTGAGCGTCGGTAGAAAGATGACTCCGTTCCCAGAAACGGTGAGTGATCCTGATCTTTTAACTAAAACCAGGCATTTTATCGTGAAACGTCGGTCAACCTGTCACTAATTGCAAAAGAAGGTTTTTTAACGGTTTTTGGCATGGTCCAGGAACGTGTTCTCTATAACATATCAAAAGTCCCCGAAAATCCGAGCAGGGGAAGTTGACGAAAAACGAGTTTTTTTTAGAATAGGCTAATGCTGCGCTGCACGGAAACGAGGTTGTATGTACTGCCTGTTGTGTTGCTCGAGTTTGAAGCCCCGTACAGCATGGACTAGTAAAGACTGAGAGAATTTATTATGTTTTTTTTTCCTAAGTAAGTGCATTTGTGTAACGATTAAATAAAACAACTGTTCTGTATAAGATTCCTAAATCAGAAAAAAACACGTAAAACCTGTAGAAAACATCCACGATTGTTAGCTATCTAGTTGAAGTATTTAGCGAGGAGTTATGTCTTCCGCAAGCGAATTCAGAACTTAAAAAGGATAATTTTAAACTGAAAGTAAAAGTAATATCGTGTTCTAAGCTAATATAATTCAAGGAAAAAATATTTGACTTGAGTGTCTTGAGTAGAGACTTCCAAAATGAACTGATCATTCACCTCGGTGAAAAAACCTGTACTTCACTCGTCGCTTCGCGCTACTTTTCTCGGGAGTCACAAAACTTAGTTTATTATTAATTTCATCTATTTTGTTTTGTTCAAAATTTTAAGAAAAAAGTCTAGGAATCGTATCAAGTTTTATGAAACTGGCGACCATTTTCGCTAAAGCCGAAGGAAATGTTTTCACTGACTTATGAAGTAATAAATAAAGCGCGCGCCCTGCAATGCCAAAGTTCTGGTTCAAGCCGAAAATTACAAAGTGAATGGGAATTCCAAAACACACATTCGCGTTTCGATTTTAAAAAAGAAATTACGGAATTGAAGGTATCCTAACTATACCGAAAAGAAAGTTTTTCTTATGACTAGAGGGACTCGTGTTAAGAGTCTTGTTTGGACGTGTTCCCATGCTTGGATCTTTAGGGACTTTTAGTATGTTCATGTATGGGATATTTCTAACTGGTCAATGATGAGAAAGCTTCGAATTCTTGTGCAGTCAGTTGCTGGTCCGACGACAAAATGCCTGGACTAATAAGAGGCTATTCACTGACGCTTTGGAAAATTTGAAAGTACATGATAATTAGCACGCAACTCACTAATAATAGCTTAATTTAGCTAAACGATGTTTGATGGGCCCCTAAACCAAGACAAAAATGAAAGAATAAAATGAGGAAGTCGTTGTCGAAAGAAAATAAGATGGTTTCATTGATAAAATTGTGATAAGTTTTCAAACACTGGAGGTTTCAAGAGTCGAAACCAAGCAGAGCAAGCAAAGCAAGCAAAATTCACAGTTTTCAGAAAAAATTGTTTAAGTGCCCGAGATTTTTGTCGTAGGCTTTGGGACAAGAAATCCATTTTGTGAGAGATAGTACATTTATCTAAGAAGTGGCTTGTACAAATAATATGCAATATAAAGTGGCATGGCACTAAAGAAAAGCCAAAAAGTTGTATCTTCTCAACGCAAAAACCACAAAAATGGCGTCCCAGGACTTTTTTTTAGTGTTTCTAATTATGTTTACAGTGTCACTAATTTTAGTCTGAGAGTCTTGGCCCTGAAAGAGTACAAAGTTTCAAGTAATATTATTTACTATCATCCCGATACACTGCTTTGAACTGTGACGAATAAAGAATGTTTGATGCTGTAATGGAAGAACAAATAAAGCGAAAAATAATGAGCATTTAACTGGCAAGGTGTGCGCAAACCGGTATTAAAAATGAAAGCGGTCGCTGGTAGAAAACATACTTGTATCGTGCCTTGAAGCTTTCTCATAAGGTTGTTTATGGTACTACGAACGTTGCAAGACTTGAATACTAGGCAAATGTGCTTTAAAAACAGGAACGATAAACAAACACCCTGAATATGACGAATTAACGTCATGCAAGTGGGCTAGATTAAAATATTCATATACATTAAGACTTTTCTCTTTACAATTATTTACAATAAATAACTTAACTCTGTTGTGTTGTTATGGGATTTCTTTTCGAAACTGTTTTTATGCATTAAATGCATTGATCTTCCACGAGCTAAATTTTTTTTCCATAATGGGTATATAAGTGTATAAAATTTGACAATTTCATTTTGATATCTATGAGTAAGTTTTTTTTTTATGTACAAGCTTAATTAACTTTCTCCTTTTTTCCATTATCATTGTACTCCTGTTTTTTTTTTCATTTTACATGATACACGCTTGATCTCTCTCTTTATTTACATTACACAGCATTTTATATTTTCATCATTTCTTTCTACTTAAATGTTTCCTTAATCACCGTAATCCTTCTTTTTTCTTTTAAATTGTATGACACACACTTAAAGTTCTCTATTCGAATTACACTATCAAAACAATATTTCCATCGTTTGCTTTACTAACAGTGATAAAAAAATATTTAATTATTCAGCCAATTTTCTCAAAGTTGTTGACACGTTGTTCCACTCTTACAGTGAATCGTCGTGCATATTCTACATGATAAACAAGCTACTGAATCATGTGGCATGTAGCAAATGGGCAACCACCCTGTACAGGCAGGTGCTGGTGTTACATAATCCTTCAAATAAGTAAAAGAAAACGAAAAAAATGGCAGCCTCATAGCAGCATTGAGACTAACCTTACTTACCCACTAGGCCACAAAGCCACTATTTTTGCTAGCCCAAGATCAAAATGCAGTTGTCCTGGGCAATTAGACCTCTGTTTGTTCCTGCCCTGCCTACATTTTTCTTTTTTTAAAAAAGATGGTTTTCATAAAAAAACTGAAACAAGACCATAGCCATATTGCAGGGTCAGCAGGGTTGGTTGTTAAAGGAGCTGTGTCACTGCTACTGCGCATGCTTGCATTTGACAGATGCAAATGATGTAAACAAGGCCATGTTTATATGAGCCCATGTGACAAGCCGACTCGCGCTGCGAAACCTTCATCGAGATTCTTTATTTTCGTTGGAACCTTTTGCAAAAATGAGTCTTTCTTCGAAACAAAGTAGCTCTTTTGCGGTATGTATCCGTGTATCAATTTAGCCACAACTTTGTTGCCGCTTTTGTAGTCAGCGAATCGCGCTCTACTCTTCCTGGACTTCTGAATAGAGGGTCTCAATGGGATGGTAGCTTTTACGGTTATCGGCTAAAATTCTGGCTCTTTTAGGGCTATAGGTTAATTTTTTCCAGTTACGGTTAACAACAAGGTTAAAAATTAATTTCTTTTGTTTCAAAAAGTTAAATATTAATAAACTTGTATTTTTTTGTATCTTCAACGCAAAATAAAGGTCTTTAGTCCATGGGCCAAGTGGCTTTTCATTACCACTCTGGGGGACAAAGGCTACCATATATCAAATTAAAGCTTATCATGTGTAGATTTCAAAAATATATGATGGAAATGTTGTAAGAGTAGCTTAAGGGAGTCACGTGACCTTGAATGTTGCATAATTAGCATAAATTGATAATATACTAAAATGCGGCTTTTAGCAAGTAAGGCTGTAGATTCTGCATAAAATAAAGCAGGCATAGATAAGATATAATGTCTGTAAAGTATTTTGCCACTTTTAAGGATAAATAGTCACGTGGCAGTGACGTCACTTCGTTCACGGTAAAAAAACTCTTCAATTTTTGTCTATATTTTTACTTTTTCCCCTTTTTTCTTTTATGTGAGTCAAAAATACAATTCAGAGTATTTTTACCATAAAATGTACTAAAAGATATAGCAATTAGCATTA